AATCCCCCAGCCAGCCTGCTTTAAAATGGATAGACTTCAACTCCCAGAATCCCCCAGCCAGCCTTGCTTTAAGATGGATGGATTTCAACTCCCAGAATCCCCCAGCCAGCCTGCTTTAAAATGGATAGACTTCAACTCCCAGAATCCCCCAGCCAGCATGCTTTAAGATGGATGGATTTCAACTCCCAGAATCCCCCAGCCAGCCTGCTTTAAAATGGATAGACTTCAACTCCCAGAATCCCCCAGCCAGCATGCTTTAAGATGGATGGATTTCAACTCCCAGAATTCCCTTGCCAGCAAGGTTTAAGATGGATAGACTTCAACTCCCAGAATCTCCCAGCCAGCATGCTTTAAGATGGATGGATTTCAACTCCCAGAATTCCCTTGCCAGCAAGCTTTAAGATGGATAGACTTCAACTCCCAGAATCCCCCAGCCAGCCTGCTTTAAGATGGATAGACTTCAACTCCCAGAATCCCCCAGCCAGCATGCTTTAAGATGGATGGATTTCAACTCCCAGAATCTCCCAGCCGGCACACTTTAAGATGGGTGGACTTCAATGCCCAGAATCCCCCAGCCAGCATGCTTTAAGATGGGTGGACTTCAATACCCAGAATTCCCCCGCCAGCATGCTTTAAGAAGCCTAGCCAAACTATCCTAGCATCAGAAATTGTACCTGAAATGAGATTTTTTTTTAGTTAAAGAAAAAAAAAGCAGCTCTTTATTGGAAAATGGGGGCCCACAGGTACAGTTCTAGGAGTTGGAAGTCCTTACCAGTTTGTGTCTGCGTGTGTGTGTGTGTATGTGAGTGAGTGAGAGAGAGGGGGGGAAGAGGAGGAGGAGAGGAGAGAGGGAGAGAGAGAGAGAGAGGTGAGTCTTCCTCCTTCGCTGAAAAGCAGGAACTGGTGAATTTGTGGCATTGGATGTTTTGGTAAAGAAGTTCTGAGCAGTCCCTGAGAGAGAGAGTCTATCGGTGGGCTTCTACGGATGTGCTCCCAGGACCTCCGTGTAAAGTTTCACTGCCCCTTTGGCTGAGGGGCACAGCTCATTCCACCATTCTCCCTGCTGCTCCATCGACAGGACATCCTGCACACACACGCACAGACATAGAATGAGAATGAGAGAGGGAATGAGAGAGAGGGAGAGAGAAAGGGAGAGAGGGAGGGAGGGAGAGAGGGAAAGAGAGAGGGGGGAAAGAGAGAGGAAGAGAATGAGAGAGAGAAAGAGAATGAAAGAGAGGGAGAGAGAGGGAGAGGGAAAGAGGGAGAGAACAAGAAAAAGAAAGAATGAGAGAGAGAGAGGAGAGAGAGGGAGAGAGGGGAAAAGAGAGAGGGAAAGAGGGAGAGAATGAGAGAGAGGGAAAGAGAGAGAGAGGGAGAGAATGAGAGAAAGAATGAGAGGGATAGGGAGAGAAGAAGAGAGGGAAAAAGAGAGAGGAAGAGAGGGAAAAAGAGAGAGGGAAAGAGGGAAAGAGAGGGGGAGGGGGAGAGAGGGAGAATGAGAGAAAGAAAGAGAGAGAGGGAGAGGGAGGGAGGAAGAGAGAGAGGAAGAGAGGGAAAAAGAGAGAGGGAGAGAGAATGGGAGAGAGGGAAGAGAAGAGAGAAAGGGAGAAAGAGAAAGAATGAGAGAGAGGGAGGGAGAGAGACTTTGGACCAATCACCAGGAGACGGTGAGTTCTAGTCCTGCCTTAGGCATGAAAGCCGGCTGGGTGACTGAGGCCAAAACGTACCTCTCGGCTGACGAAGATGATGCTGACGGATTCTTGAGCTTCTGGTCCCCCAAGAGTGTAACGCTGCTTCACTTCCTCTGACGACAGGCTGCACCTGAAGGGCAAAATTAGGAGAGCAGAACCGTCAGGCGAGGAGGACGACTGAAGTTATGATGGAGAAGGCCTCCCTAGGTTTGAAAACGGGCTGGATGAACCACCAGCCGACTCTTATTTATGACGGTTGCAGTGTCCCAGGGGATGTCCCATTTCTCTCGCCACCTACATGTGTGCATCTGAACTAGACTGTGTTGATCCTCTGTGTCATACATGCGGGTGAGTGGCGTGGTGGCCTAGAGGTGGAGCTCTCGCCTCACAATCAGGAGGCCGTGAGTTCAATCCTAAGTAGAGGCAGATATTCCTCTCTCTGAGCACAACAGTTCTGCTAAACAAAACTCTGTACTGGCAACAGGGATGTCATCCGGCCAGTAAACACTCAGCTCCATTCAGTTGCCCAGACTCAATGCAAGGGACCACAGGGTCATTAAAAAACATACACACATATACACGAATGAAATTTCATTTTAATGTGTGCCGATTTGTGTACATCCAAAGTGGCAATCAAGTGATTCTAAGTCTACCTCTCTGTCCCAGGGTCATGTGATCGAGTTTGATGACCTCCTGTCAATCAATGTCAACGAGAAAGCCAGATTCACGTTACTAAATGAACAAACTGCCGCGATTACCTTAACTACAACATGGGGCCAAACATCTCATTTCATGACAGAAATCTGGGGCTCAGGTGCGGCCGTTAAGTCGAGGACCGCCGGCATCCCTGCTTCCTCGAGCGTTACCTGACGTAGAATTCGGCGCTGCACCGGCCGGCCGTGGTTTCATTCCGAACGATGCCAAGCAAAAGGGGCCTGCTGAGAGCAGCTGGCTGAAGGTTCACCTGGAAACAGGTAAAAAAAAAGGTGAGTCAGGAAGCAGCAGAAGGGAGACCCGGCTCAACCCCCCTGCCTCCTTCTCCTCCGGCCTCTCACCTCATCCTGGATCTCGCGAAGCACAGAAGAGAACAGCTCCCTGACCACCAGATCCCCCGGGAGATCCTGATGCCGAATCAAGGATCCCACCGAAGCGTCAACACCCAGCACGGCCTGCAAAGAAAAGAGGGGAATAGCAGCAAATAAGCCTGTTTGCTATAATAGGATATTATTAATAGGATGTTATAATATAATAGGTAATGGTAAAGGTTCCCCTCGCGCATATATGCTAGTCGTTCCTGACTCTAGGGAGTGGTGCTCATCTCTGTTTCAAAGCGGAAGAGCCAGCGCTGTCCGAAGACGTCTCCGTGGTCATGTGGCTGGCATGACTCAATGCCGAAGGCGCACGGAACGCTGTTCCCTTCCCACCAAAGGTGGTTCCTATTTTTCTACTCGCATTTTTTACCTTCTTTCGAGCTGTTCGGTTGGCAGAAGCTGGGACAAGGAACGGGGGCTCACTCCATTATGCGTTGCTAGGGATTCGAACCGCCGAACTTTCTGATCGACAAGCTCAGCGCCTTAGGCACTGAGCCACCGCATCCTATTATATAATATAATATAATGTATTATATAGCACACAATATTATATATTATATAACTATAATTATATATTATATAACTATATGTTATATAATTATAATATCCTATTATATTATAAGAGCTGTTATAAGGTGGTTCAGTGGCTAAGATGCTGAGCTTGTCAATCAGAAAGGTTGGCAGTTCGGCGGTTCGAATCCCTCGTGTGCCATGTAACAAAATGAGCTCCCGTTACTTGTTCCAGCTTCTGCCAAGCTAGCAGTTGGCAACTGGCTCACATTTATAGCATCCTGCAGTCATAATTTGTGATTTTTAGGGTGTTTTCCAACAGAAAGCAGTCCACTGGGTACGCTGGATTCATTTAATGGCCAGGGGGTTTGCTTAACACTGACGTGATCCCCGGAACGACCGTGGTGACTTGCTTTATATCACAAAAAGCGTTGTAAAATTTAATCAGGCCCTGTGGTGCCTCAATTGGAAAGGCTGGCAGCCAAAATTCTGTGCTCCGTGGTGGTCGTAACTCAAGGACTAGCTGCCCAGAGGCCTGGAGCTGCCACCTGTATTTATAAGACAGGTGAGATTTCCTCCACTGCATCAAACTGGATAAAGACACCCACCTGAGGTTCCGGGTGTCCCCCAGGGACGTCGACCTTCCCGGGGGCTTCCCCCACACGCAGGCTGCGCCGCAGGAAGACAAAATTGTCGTCTGCTGTGTGCACCATAGCACCCACACCCAGGGGTTCGGCGAGGTAGGCTTGGCTGTTGCCAAAGTCCTTGCGCCCCTGTTCCCGCAGCTGCCAGGCCGTCTCCGCCAAGTTGGTGCCCACGAAGTCCTTGTAGCTGGTGAGCCCCAGGTGGAAAGTCAAAAGGTTCCCGTCGTTCAGCGTGGCGGAGTGGAGGCGGAATTTGGCCCTGTCGAAAAGCCACGGGTTCTGCTGGCAACGGGCTGCCCAGACGCTATCGATTCGGACCTGATCCCCAGGCAGAGTGTTCCGGTCGTAGAGGGGGGAAACTTCTGCTCGGACGTGAGATTCGGGGATACCCCCAGAATCCGGGCACTTGAACAGTAAGGAGATATCTGGGTCCATCCTTTGCCTGCTTTGCTCACCTGGAAAAAGAGAAAGGAGGAACATCCAGCTTTTCCTCTGGTTTGGGGTTCCCAGCCAGCCTCTTCATCTCTCTCTCTCTCTCTCTCCATCCATCCATCCATCCATCCATCCATCCATCCATCCATCCATCCATCCATCCATCTAAGGCAAATACCATTCACTCATCATGAAATCTCCAGAACCGTAAAGCCTACAAACTTGAAAAGGGTTTTTATGTCAGGACAAGGAGCTGGCTTCATGCTCTTATGAAGCCTCGGTCAGAACATTTCCCTCCGAGGCTCCTGGCCAAGTTTTGCAGATATCAGCCTGGCAGCTCTCCAAGCCAGAGAAGGTCTGTGACTTCAAATCCTCCCTTGAGAAAGACTTTGCTGGATGTGAAGGAGCAGAATTCACAGTAAATCAAGAAAAGGGGTTTTTGTCGGGACAACAAGGTGTTTGTTTCATGCTCTTGGGAATGTCAGAACAATTAAGTCCTGTTGGGTGTGCAAATTCACTCAAACAACTGGGAAATTAGCCTCCTTGTTTGAAGCTCACAGACACCATCACTTGCTCACAAGGACCCCCCCAAGCTGTCAAACTAACCATGGATAACTTGCAATGCTCGTCACGGCTGGACAGAGCAACCATCGCCTGCCAGTGAGGCTGACACAAAGCTGGAGCGATATATTTTCAGATTTCGCTGCCTTTCATGCCTCATCCCAGAGGGCCACAGGATTGATGTGAAGAAGGAAAAACACCAGGAGGTTAAGAGAAGGAGAAATTCAAACCAGGGCTGTCCAAAACTGTTCGAAAAATTAAATCTCGACCTGCTTCTCTCCGATTGGGGTTGGAGAGACGTTAAAAAAAAAGGAAGCAGGAATCCTACATCGGTCGCAGTTGTGTTAGAAGCAAAGTCTTCGGCGGATCAAGGATTGGAAAATCCAGCAGCTTAATCGCAAAACAGAATCATCGTATTATTATTTTTTTTTACAGTGGTTAGGGCTGGGGATATCTGCGGTTAAAGGATGAGTTAGGAAGAGGTTGGCCACGCTCAGCTGGAACGTGAAAAAAAAGCAATTTTGGGGAAGGGGGGAACAGCAGGGAGGACAAAAAAATAAATAAAAAATCAGACTCTTCGTGCGAATTCTTCACTCAGTCTACCACCTCTGCTCTCCGGATGTTAAGCTTTTGCGGAGGCTATAAATCCAAAGAGGACGTCAAGCCCTCGAGCGGAGATGGATGAGATTATAAGACTCCAATTTAATTACGGAGCGAACCGGGCCGGGGGGGGGGCTTCGCGGCTCCTACAACCCAGAACTCCATCATTGCAGTTTAATCGCAAATAATTTTCTGCGGCTGGAGAAAAGCCACTTGCCTCATTGCAGCTTTGCTGAAGAATTGTTCGTTGAAGAACTCATCCTTTTAAAAATGTTTTCCTCCCCTAGATTTTTTAAAAAGGCTTAAAGTCTTTTTTTTAAATAAATGTTCTGCCAGAGTTTGTTGCATAAATTCAAATCCAGAAGCACACACAGATGCAGCAGGATTCATTAACTTCTTTATATACAAAAGAATAAATGAATAAATGTACAATGCCAACAGGTGATTCTTCCAAGTAAACATGAGGCAGGAGAGTTACAGGCAAACACAAGCACTTAGTTTCATTTCAGCAGACAAGCCCAGACAGACTGCTAGTTTACTTCTCAGAGCAGCAGACTGCTCAAGTTTCTGTTTCAATTCTTTGCACAGACTCAGATCTGTTTAAGCTCCCATTCTCTGACTTGGTTGCTATGCCTATTCATCGGCTGACCTTGTTCCCATGTCTCTCCCAGTCATGAGTATTTTGACATGTTCATTCCCCCCAAAATACAGCTCAGTGTCATTGTAGCCTTAGTCCTCGACTTAACAACAGTTCATTTAGTGATGGTTTGAAGTGACAACAGCACTGAAA